CGTACGTAATTCTGTTTTGCCAGTTTTACCCGTGAACGCGAAGGTGAATGTGTCGGATCTGAGTACCAAAAAGTTGTCGAAGGTTCGAAGAGAATTCCTACTGTACTGCTGTGGAAGCATTGCATGAAGTAGAGCAGGGCTTCAATGAGAAAAAGTTCAAAGAGATGGATGGCGTGTAACGTCAGAGAAGAATAATCTGAAGCGGTTGATCTAGCTAGTGACAGCGTTAGCCGTAATCCAAGAAAGCGAATCGGCTCAAGTCTTTGGAGAATCTGGAATGGAGACTAGGATGGAAGAGCTATTGTTGGTGATGATCATTTTGGTCGTTGCAGGATTCGGATGGTTTCACTCTGATGGATGATCGAGCGAACCCTGCGAGCAGACCAGAACATTGCCAAGGCCAAGAAAGAGTTTATTGGTTGGAAACTAATCAAGAGTGGATGGTACGTGGGCCCCTGAACCCAGGTGAGCCCGGTTTTACAGACACGGAGGAAGAGCCTGTGTAGCTTTGCGCAGAATCGCGTTCTGGTGTGGAGCGTCCGAGCATTTTCACTCCCGAATTTCGCTCTCGCGTGGAGTGTCCTCGTATTTTCGCGCAGAATCGCGCTCTGGTGTGAAGCGTCTTCGCATTTTCATGCTGAAATGCGCGATCGCGTGGAGTGTCCTCGCCCGGCCTCCGCAGCAAAAAAACAACTTGCCCGTGTTATGCATTTCCACGCAAATCGGGCTATGGCGTGAGACGTCCTCATATTTCCGCGCAGAATCGCGCTGCGGCGCGGAGCGAAAAAAGGGCCCCTTGTCGGGCATTTCCATGCAAATCGGGCTGTGGCATGGGACGTCCTCATATTTTCACGCAGAACCGCGCTCTGGCGTGGAGCGTCCTCACATTTTCACTCTCGAATTGCGTTCGCGTGGAGCGTCCTCGTATTTTCGCGCAGAATCGCGCTCTGGCATGAAGCGTCCTCGCATTTTCACGCAGAATTGCGGTCTTGCGTGGAGCGTCCTCGCAACGCCCGGCGCCTCCGAAAACGGGCCTCCTGTCGGGGAATTTCCGCGCAAAACGGGCTGCGGCGTGGGATTTTCACATTTTCACGCGGAACTGCGCTCTGGCGTGGAGCATGGTCGTATTTTCGCTCAGAATTGCGGATTAGTGTGGGGATTCTGGAGTCGTTGAATGCCCGTGCTTAGGCTTAGGGTTTGGGATTCACATGTTTTGGTTTTTGAACTTAGGACACGATCCAATGTGTGGGCCCCAAAAAGGCATTTGGCTCAGGATACGGTTTGAGGGGTCTTGTCCTCGAACCTCCCCTCTGTAACCAGAAATAACAGTGGTGGGGCGCAGGGTTTTGTTGGACACAGACATGCCTCGTTCTTCGGATGGAGGCAATCTTGCGCCGCCGAGCATGTCCCGTATTACGTTATAGCCGCAAGAAATACAGCCCGTAAGCTTTCAGACCCTACACCTTAAAGCGTTTGGGGATGTTAAGTGCAAGATGTACTCCATCCACCGGAGTGGGTATTGCGCTGCTCCCCGTTATGGTTGGAATTTACGAAGTTGAAAGAGGGGTGCAGCAAGCAAGGCCCTGAAAATCACCTCCCAGAAAAACCATCGCAAATAACAGACACCGATAGGTGCACACATCTTTTTGGCCTCCCCCCCTCTTTTCTTTTTAGCAGCACTGGTAGCAAATACCAACGAAAGCCCCCTAGAAAACGGATATTCGCATCTCCATCCATGTTTTGTACATGGGGGGTGGCGGCGCCTCCCCCAACCGCCTTGCTTTTTTTCTTTCAGCAAATAGCATCAAACACAAACCGACGTGTGCACACATCTTCCTGGCCTGGGCCCCCCCCAACCCCCCCAACCCCCTCCTTTTGTAACAGTTCTCCTAAACGACATTCAGTTTCGTTTTTTCAGATGGGGATCTGCCTTCGCAACGGCATTCAGTTTCGTTTTTTCAGATGGGGATCTGCCTTCGCAGTCCCCCGTTCGCCAATGAAAAGCAGAATGGCTACGCATTCCATCAAAACTTACCGCACGCAACTGCATGTTTGCATCTTCGTCCATGGAAGGTCCCCAAACATTGGTTTTATGTACTCCTGCTGTCAGACCCCGCCAACCCACTTTTGATGTCTTTTTTTTAAATATACATTGCCAGACAACTTTCTGTGATTAGACAGCGGTTTCAAAATGGGTTTGTCAAAATTCATGTTTGCCATCGGTTTTGATGAACATGTTCAAGTCTTATATGACGCTTACCTTTCATGTCCATTTCATGTTTTGATTTGTTCGGACAACGTGCTGAACAAATCTTCTCTGCTGCATTGCATTGTCTCAAGGTATGCACCTGGAGCAGCAAAGATGGATTTTTGTCCAACCCGGAAAGACCAATGCAAAAGGGAAAGGTCTATGCAAAAGCATCCATGGTCAAACCAAGGATGACGTGGAGGGTGGTGAGCCCATGATTCGAATCCTCAGTGCGATGGAGATGAAAAAGATTTGAGCGACTGAACAGGTTTTGAGTGATTCGCTTGAATACGGTCTAATTGTCCACGCATGTTTTGACTGGGCCTTTGTGCCCTTTTGCATTTCAGCTGATGTGCATAGCTAAGATCTGTTTCGGGACTCGTTTGGAATTATTGGAGTGCAATATGATTGATTCGAAAATTGTTGGATATTGTATGAATGCGACTTTGAAATTCTTTCAGTTTTATAAATACAAATGAAATTTTGGTTTTAAATTGCTGAATAACCTCGCCACAGTGATTGAAATGGCAGACTTTCCACAGTTTTTGGCCAAATCTCTCAATTCCAACAAAAATTTGGAACGAAACAGATTGAAAAATCAATGTGCAGCATGAACGTACCCACCACCCACCAATCAAGGACAAACATGCATGAGCTAAAACCGTTTCCTGGCTGAAATCAAGGTTCATTTGACAATGCAAGCGTGCCGTCATGTGTGCCATGCAATTTCGCCTGATTAGTTTCTGTTGGATGTATGCTGATCGGATGACCTTTTAAAGATATTCCGCAAGCACCCAACATCATTGCAAGCGGCGATCATCAATGGCAGAGTTCAAGGAAACAGCTTTTAGGATGCTTTCGTTATGGCCAGATGAGGGTCTGTTTGGGAGTGTTGATAGTCTGCTTCAGAAGCTCCAGCGCCTGCAGCTGCCCCTCCCCTGGAAGCAGTTGCAGCTCAGCAAGCGTTGCCGCACGATCCCGACGCGACATTGATCGCTACCTTGTCAGTCCAAGCTTCTCCAGAGCAGCTACCTACGGAAAAGAAAGCAGCTAGTCAACATAATATGGAGGCAAACCCCTTGTTTGTCATTTCATCTTGAAGTAAACATTTTGGTTTACAACTAAAGAACAATAAGCTCTCAAGCTCACAAAATCATTTTGGCAAAGGCAAAGGACATGAAAATTGTCCACAGCGGTGCTTAACTAGCGTCAGCCCTTCCCATCAGATCATGCGTGGCAGCGTGAATTTAAGGTGTGCAAACATAGGTTTATCTGCCATGTGTCAGCTTCACAATTGAGTTGCATGGATTGTTGACATCAAGCTGGACATTGTAGCGGGCACTGCCCCTTCGGGGGCAGTTGCTGTGGCCATGCTGTGGACATGGTTTGAGTCCAAGTGTGGAAGTATCAGGCTTCCGTATCGCAAGCCCAGTACTGTGACCATATTTCTTGATGACATCAGGCCAAGAGGTTCCTCTGGACGTCAGGCATTTTGTTAATCGTGGAACATAAGGTGTCATTGGACGTATCTGGCATCTGAAAGGCAATCAGCGGCTGGTTTTTGGGGTTTCTGGTCCTGGAGCGTGAGCAGCTCAAGGGTTCTTTCACGTGTTGGCAGTTTGAATCGGCAGACAGTTTTATGAGGTGTCTTCACACGTGCGCAAGCTGTCGCCATGAGGGCAGAGGCGGGAAATGGCCGAAGCTTAGCCACCAGGTACACTGTTGCAATGCCAGGCTAGCCAAATGGGTGGCAATCCCCTCGGCAAGATCATTGACATGCTTGAGAAAATGCAGCACAAGGTCATGCTACTGTCGGCGGGATTTGTGCTGCAACCGCTTGCTTGTGTAGGTGGAGGAAGCAGGATCAGAGAAATCAAAGATTTTCGAGAAGTGCTCCCCGAGCCAGCATGCAAACCAGCAGTTTCTTGGTCATGAACTTTTGTGAGCATGGGTCCAGGTACATGTGTTATTGCAAGTCAACATCGGCAAAATTAATGTCGCAGATGGGCCAGGTGTGGCATCTCCTGTCTGTTTGTTCGTTTTGGTCAGTCAGTGCAACAGGCCGAGACGGGTCTTCCGCAATTGCAGTCGCGCGTCCGTGAGGCGATCTTGTCTCACACGGTGGTGAAATTGTATTTTCAGCTGTTAGGTAGTTGCTCTACAAGCAACACTGGAAGCGGAAGTTTCACAACACAAGAAGGACACCCAGCTGTCAGATGCCTTCAAACTGGCATTGCGTCTGCTTTGCTTTCCTGGCAGGACAGGGATGAAGCAAGGAACACCATGAACAGCGCTTCTGCACTGCGCAAGAAGGTCACGTAACCACGCTGTGGCACCGTGCAGTGGCTTTGTGTTCGTATGGAACGTGGGACAGGAGTCGGAGGCTTTCTTGAAGGAGCTGGCGCGACTCCGCGTTGCGAACGGTTAGCAGGCATTGTGACATTTGCAATCTTTCATCGAAGGAGACCACCAGCGAGAAACAAACACTGGACTCGATCAAAGAGGCTGTGATCTCAATTGCAGCAACACTTGCGTCTTGTGCTTCATCTTGTGCAAGGCCATTGTTGCATTGGAAAAGGGCCTGGGAAATTCCTTCCTCCAGACACAGCAGGCGGCTGTATTGCGCAGGCTGGTGCTCTTCGCCATTCCCTGTGAAGCAGAAGCCTTGGTAGCATTTGCAGGTTGTCGCTTTCAGCCGTATGGAGCTGAGTTTTTCACGATCAAACGATCAAATGCTGGCACGGCAGCTGAGGACATGACAACGGAACACCGGGATGTCCTGTCTGCCTTCCTAGACTCCGGGTCGTCAGGCTGAACTTGACTTGTGGGGAGGGGATGGGCCGGGAATGCTTGGCTTTCCGATCCTCTGGAGTCCTCAACATCGTGCGACTGTGTTGGATGGCGAAGCTGGGCTGGTAGTTTGGTGGCCCCTGGTTGGGATGAGGGTTATATGCTCTGAAGGGACCCATGCAGCCAAACCTTGCAGATATGAAGCCAGAGGCCGCTTGTACATCTGACGGGAATTGGTAGTCGAGCTGCGATCGTGGAATGCTTGATCCTAACGTGGCACCTTCAGCCATGGCCATTTGTCTGGTCGCACGGCCTGGCGCAAGAAGCTCATGCTTATGGTATTGGCCGGGCAGCAGTTTTCCAAAGAGCCGTGCCTGCTAGATGCGGCTGCGAAAGCGTAACAGCAACACTCTTCTCGCTTTGCGATACCTCGCTTTGATGCTTCCATTTCGTTGTATGCATCCAGCTTGCCATCGCACGGGAGTTTGCCGAGTCAGACTCCCTGCCGGGAGCTGTTGCATTGTGTCTTCCGGCTCCGGTTGCACCGGATGATGCCTTTCAGCCGAAGATCTCATACTTGTGTTGCTGATTTAGAAAATCTTATGCATCTCTGCTTGACATCCCAAACAGTAGGGCCGGCTGTGAAGTGTCTGGGTAACAGAGCAGGAAATCTGTGGGGGACATCTCAGTGAAATTCGTCACGTGCCGGTTCTGAGCATTGAGGTGGGCTCTTGCGATGCTTCGATACATCAATGAAAGAATTTCCCGCGTCCGACAGCATGTTGGACGTGCTCCGAGCGCTCACCACAAACCTACCTGATGGCTGGGGATGCGGTGCAGCTGCTGGATTGCGTCGCGAAGCTGGCTCGACTTGCGAGTATTTTTATGGTATACCCAGTGTACCATTGATGTGCATGTCCAGGTGAAAGAACGTTCCTGTCAAGATAGGATAACGGGCTCATACGGGCTCTGTGTTGTTGTAGGAAGTCCGAATATCATGGCACAGCATGGCCTTGGTGCTGGCAAAAGCTGATGGGTTGTCTTGGCTAGGGAAAGTATGTGGCAGCGCACGGGTGGCCGCCTTGCGTTGGGGTACTTGTGCACGGAGCTTACTGGTGTTTTTCTATGCATTTGTGAAAATTCGACGAGACCAAGCCCTAAATCTCAAGCAACCCTGAGCCCTAAACCCTGATTTTCACTAAATCCTGAACCGTAGAGAATCTGAAAGCCTTCACCACAAACAAGCGCGAACCCTCAACTCCAAGCGTCCCAAATTAAACGAGAGACTTAAACCCTAAACAAGCTTGAGCCTGCACCTCAGTGAACCGGAAGCCCTACGCGTAAACAAAACCCTCAACCCAAAGCAGCCCAAAACTAAACAAAGCCTCACACCCTAAGCGCGCCATAGCAGGCTGGAATCCTAAATCCTAAACATCCAAAATCCCTGAACCCTAGAGGCCCTAAACAACCCGAAGACGTGCACCGTCAACAAGCCCAAACCCTAGGTCCTGAGCAACGGAAACCCCGAAACCCTAAATCCAACAACCCTAAACCCTGAACACTACATCCAAAACCCCTAAGCCCTCAAACCCCAAATCCAAAACCCTAAACCCTAAATCCCAAACCCGCAAGCCCTAAATACAAAACCCCTAAACCCTAAACCCCAAACCCTAAATCCAAAACCCTCAGACCCTATATCCAAAATTACTAAACCCTAAATCCAAAACGCCCAAACCCTAAACCCTAAATCCAAAACCTGCAAGCCCTAAATCCAAAACCCCTAAACCCTAAACCCCAAACCCTAAATCCAAAACCCTAAATCCAAAACCCTCAGACCCTAAACCCTAAATCCAAAACGCCTGAACCCTAAACCCTAAATCCAAAACCCTCAGACCCTAAATCCAAAACTACTAAACCCTAAATCCAAAACGCCCAAATCCTAAACCCTAAATCCAAAACGCCTGAACCCAAAACCTCAATCCAAAACCCCGAAACCCTAAATCCAACACCCCTAAACCCTGAACACTACATCCAAAACCCCTAAGCCCTCAAACCCTAAATCCCAAACCCTCAAGCCCTAAATCCAAAACCCCTAAACCCTAAATCCCAAACCCTCAAGCCCTAAATCCTCAAACCCTGAATCCAAAACCCTCAGGCCCTAAACCCAAAACTAGTAAACCCTAAATCCAAAACCCCTAAACCCCAAACCCTAAATCCAAAAACCCCTAAACCCCAAACCCTAAATGCAAAACCCTTGAACCCTAAATCCAAAACTCCGAAACCCTAAATCCAACACCCCTAAACCCTGAACACCACATCCAAAACCCCTAAGCCCTCAAACCCTAAATCCAAAGCCCGCAAACCTTAAATCCAAAGCCCTCACACCCTAAGCGCATCATAGCACGCCTGAATCCAAAATGCGAAACATCAACAATCATTGAACTACACCGTAAACAAGCCCACCCTCTGCCCTAAGCAACCGCAAACTACACTAGAACAACCCAACACCCTCAACAACCCAGAATCTGAAACGTCCCTAACGCTGAAACCCAGACAACCCTGACAACCAGAAAACCGACACTGTAAACCCACCCAAGCCCCCAACCGTTGGAAACCCGCCGAACCCAAGCATAACTCGCAATTTTACACACCATGAAGCCCAGACTATCAACTTGTAGGCAACCCAAAGCTAAACGAGACCAAACCCTGAACAACCCCAGACAAGTTGGAGCCCCAAACTCTAAAGTCCCGCTAAGCCCATGAACCCAAAAGAAATTAAACGCTACACCGTAGACATACCCAAGCTCTCCTTAACAACCCTGAGAAACTGAAGCCCAGTAAACAAACCGAAGCCCTCAACCCTACTCCCTCATACTATGCAGGACCACACCCCAAACCCTGCACAACTTGGAAGCCTAACCCTAGAGCTTTCTTATGCCAAACTTTAGAGAAACCCCCGAGCCCTACACGTCTACAAGCCCGAAACCTCAACCCGACTGTAAGCAACCCCAAGCTCAACGAGACCAAATACCAAATCTGGACCTGGAATCCTAAATCCTAGAACATCCAACCCCAGAGAACCTGAGAGCCTACACCGTAAACCGATGAAAA